TTCTGTCCCATTGATCTCTGTGTCTGTTCTTGTGCAGTACCTAGCTAGGTAATTTTTAATTTTTTTCCAGTGAGGAAGCTAGTGTGTACTTTCATAGTTTTGAGTGTCAGAGTTCCTGAGTTTACTGGTTACAAACCAAAACAGTATTTGATAATTTAAACTCCAGTTGCAAAATGGCATACTTATTGATGCTACATTTTACTGTAATGCATATATATGTGATTTCCATGTTTTAAAGGAGGTTCAGGATTTACCTGTTTGTCGAGACTTGCTGAATCTGTCTCATTATTCTCTGTAATAGTTGGGGCTGGGATGTCATTCTTCTTAGTGCAAGTGGAATCTTGTTATATTGAGGTCAGATTTTGCCAACAATTTTCCTGCATGTGAGCAGCCGAGAGATCCAGCTAGCCACATCCTCTGTTTATGCTACATTGGAATTTCATGGCAGTAAAACAAAAGGTGTGACTTTCCAGTGCACGCACACATTCACTGTGTGCTTTTCCAGCTTTGTTGGTATTTATAATAGTTGGCGAAGCACCAGGGTCATCTGTCCCCATCCTTGACCATTGCTGTGAACATTACAGGCTTGAACAGTTGTATAAAGAATGGAAGTAGTAACCTATGTAATCAAAGATATAGACTCAGTCTGAAATAAACCTCACACTTTGCTTCCTGCTGTCATGGATCTTAGCTTTCTGCTGTTTGAGCCAAAGCCATACAGGAGGGAAATGCTGTTCATGAAGTTCAAGGTGAATGTGACGTCATACGAATTCCTTTCAGGATGTGGTGATGCGAGGAGCCAGGAACGTAGCACTGCCACAGACTAGGGGTTTGGAAAAGCTTCCCAGACACACTCTTCGTGGATACAGAGGTTAGAGAGCTGTGGCGAGCTGCTTTTCTTCCTTTATCTGCTCCCTAGTTAGGAAGAAGACTTTGCTCAAAGTAAGCATTCTTAATAGGACAAAATAATTTTAAATTTTTATGGAAAAAATCTATACAGGAAGTGCTCAGAATAGTTTGAAAAGAAAAACTTATGTGGAAGTATCTGCTCTGTCATATACAGAAACACTATGAAAACACTGTAATTAAAGTAGTCTGGTATTTGCTTAGGGAAAAAGAACATTTTGAATACACTTGAACATTTAATACATAATGAAGTTGGCACTTCAGTCTAGTGGAAAATCGTTTATTTGGGAAATTTAACACACTTGCCTCTCTATATAGAAGACAATAGATTAGTTTCATACCTTATACAATATAAAATATAAATTTTAGATGAGTTAAAAATATAAATACAGAATATAAACCAATTAAAAAGTAAAAAGTGGGGGCAATATTTGAATAACCTCAGGAGAGGGGGAAGTCTTTAATAAGACAAGAAACTCAGAAGCCAGGAAACAAATGGACAGATTCGACTGTCTCAGTGTTAATTATTTATTATGGCAAAAGTCATAAGCATAGTAAAAATACAAAGTAAGCCTGGTAGAAATATTTATGTTATATCTGATGACATCTATTTTAAATTTAAAAGAGCTCCTACAAACAGAGAAAAGAAAAATCAGACAAGCAAAGCTGTTTAGAGGGGACACCCATGAAGCTAATAAACATGAGAGAAAGCACCTCGTAGACAGGTGTCTAACCAAAGAGGGAGATGCGTTTTCCAGTGTTCTCATGAGAAGTAAAAGGATTGATCACCTCCAGTGTGAGCAGGATTGTGAAGTGCAATGAGCTTTTTAGAAGTGAATCTGGCAGTCTTTATTAAAATAAAAAACACAGACTTTTGACATAGTGATTCAAATTTGGCATATCTGCTCTACGGAAAGAAAAGAGTTATTTCAAGTGAAATATGTACAAGAATGTTTATTATAGCAGTGTTCATAATAGAAGAAAAAGCAATTTTTCATCATTAATGAAGTGATTGAAGATATTATGGCATGTTTATGTTGTACTTTGCAGTTCTTTAAAAAGTGCATTTAAGTTATACGTATTGTTCTGAAAATATGTCTATGATATTAAGTGGAGAAAAAAACCAAAAGCATCCAAGCTGCAGAGTAGGTTGTAATGTGTGATTGTTTTAAAAAGAAAAAAAAAAACAACCAAAGAATAAACCTCTATTCACTAAAACAGGACTGCTTAAATGAAAAAAAAGGGGAGGGATATATACAAATACTTATGAATTACGTAAGTCTGGTTTTGGGAAAGGGGCACCAATCAGCTAAATATTTGACAGCACATCTTTGGGATAGATTCCCAGATGTGGAATTGCAGGGTCAAAGGGTAAATGCATGTTTAATTTTGCAGATATTGCCGAACTCCCTCCATGGGGTGTGCTGTTTTGCATTTTCACCAGCAGTGACTGAGAGTGCAGGAGTGTTTTTAATATTGGAGTATAATGTTTGCTGCCTTGCCGAGAGTATAAACATTCTTCTGAGAGAAAATGTCACAGTAATCGCAGATAGATTATTTTATAGGCAGGGTAAGTAGATGGAAACATTGGTGATTCATATCATGAGGGGATGATGGGTGACTTGCAAGCCTGATAAAGTACTGGAGGACGCTTGCTGTCTCAGGTCTCAGCCCTGCGAAGGGTCTCCTTCCTGTCCTCTGTGGGCTGGGAGGTTGCGAGCCTCTCAGTCTCTCGGCCATTTGTGCTGTGGTCACAGAGTGGGCATATCCTGTGTGCAAGGCAGTCTGGTGTGAGAACTTAAAGAATGAATATTAAACAGTTCCCAGACTCTCGGGGCCTAGTGCTGCAGTGAGTAAACTCTTGCTTCATCGCGGGTTGTGCTGTATGATGGCCCCTTCGCCTCACCTCATCAGTAGAGCAGCATAAACCATGTCAGTAAGCAGCCTGTACGCACTTAAACAGATTGTGTACCTGTGTAACCTGTGCAAGTTAAATTATTTTGTTGACCTGAAGGATATCTCATTTCCATTTACCTTATTTCCCCTAATTTAAATGATTCATTCTGTCGCTGGTTTTATGGCCCAGATGGGGACAAAATCCTTTAAAGACAGAGTAGATTACTGGTTGTCAGGGCTGAAGAAGGGAATGGGGAGGGTCTGCCAATGGGGTGGAGCTTCTTTTTTCAGGGGATGAAAATATTCTGGAAACAGAATAGGATGGTATATTCACATATACTAAAGACACTTTAAAATGGTGAATTTTATGGTCTGTGAATTTTATGTCAATAAAGAAGAACTGTATAAGGAAAGAAAATGAATCCTTACAGTGACTAGCAGAACGTTTAGGACAAGTAAATGCTCATCAAATATGATTTAACTGATGGATGGCAAGAACTGCTGGAATCTTTTTCTAGACCACAGATACAGCCATCATGTGTTGAATAATAAGACAGGAGGGAGTTTCAGGTAACTTCACTCTGCGTAATCTCTAGGATCTTGTGCCCAGGAGTTGTTTTCAATAAGGACTAAATTCTTCATTTCAAATTCTCCCTCTTAAGTGTATCACTTTAATTCTACTTTCAGCATCAGTATGACAACCTGTTCCACAGTGGCTGCCCTGGGAATGATGCCACTCTGCCTTTATCTCTACACCTTGTCCTGGAATCTTGAGGAGAGTCTCACCATTCCATATCAGAACATAGGTCTGTATTGGGCTTGTGAAATGAAATAGTAGCAGTAATGTGATAGTAATAATAACAGCTATTGTTTTTTATGTCTCCTACTTTATATAGGGTTTTTAAAATTATTATCTAATTTAATTTTCCAAATAACCCTAGGGTAGAGATTCTGTTACCAGTTCCATTTCCTATAGTTTCAGGATTAGGGAGGTTAAATAACTCTACCAAGGTCGTGCAGCTTGGTAAGTGCAGAACTGAAATTCTGACTCAGCAATCTGACTGATTCAAAAAGAGTCCAAGCTTTTTTTGAAAATAAAGCCAGAAAACTTACTTATTAAAAAGAAAAAAAGACAAAGACAAACCAACCCTTACATAATTCACTAGAAAGCGATTATACTCATTGACTCACAGGTTACCTGGGTCACAGTGACTCTAATGAGACCTTAGTTCCCCCGACTCCACCTTTAAATTGCTTGTGAGCCTTGACTTCTTTACTAATCAACATAAATGATTCCTGTTGACTGTGGAAGAGTATGCACACGTCACAGTTGCACCCACGTATCTTCCAGTATCTCCTTAAACTCTGCCCTATTTCTAGAGATCTCTGTGGACTTACTAGGCTTGGAAGAAAGACTCGGTGAGATGATACACCCATGCTCGTTTGATCAGAGCCTGTGGAGAGGTAGTAGGCACTGTTACTCCTCAAATTCTACTGTGCCAGTCCGGAGTCTTAAGTTATCACTTGGGGGACTTACAACCCACAGCCCATAGTTCAAAACCATGAATGGAGCCATGTCCTGAAGCTCATTATATCTGTAAAAAATTTGAAGTCTTCATTTAGAAATAGTGACTTTACGTGCAATTTTTTTCTGATCACTAAATTATTTAATATACTGTTTTGATGATATAGTCTAAAGGGCACTTGTAAACAGTTAAATCTCAAAATGTTATGGGCAACTCATACAACTTTGGAGCCAGTATTCCAAGTGGCCAGATTCGGAAAGTGGCCCTGGAAATTGTCAGTGTGTGAATCTGACTGGCAAGTAGACCTCTGCTCTGTTGAGCCTGCCTTCAGTGTCTTTACTGTGTTAGTTAAAAGGCACATTTCCCCACCTGCCTTTGGGTTACCCGGCTACACTTGGAAATACGAGAACTTGCTCTGGTTTCTGTAACGAATGCTATTTTTGTCCTGTAATAGACATTCTTTCCCTTGTGAAGCAAATCACCCACTGGCTTCCATAGAGAAATAATAGCTATTGCTGTAGAGGGGTGACCCCATACATAGCAACCAAAGAATTTCATAGACATAAAGGGGCCTCCTGTTTTCTGATGTTTATGTTCTTGGTTGTCTCTGAAATTCCATGTGACCTTCAGAGGGATCTTAGAGAAATGGTAGACCATGTATGGTGACATTCAGTGGTATCGTAGACCCTTCAACGTCTGTCTTCCAAAGATTAAGAATAATTTTCTTTTGGAGGAAGATGCAGAAATAAAATGCAGCTTTAATTAAAAGTTTTGTCTAGTTGAAATAGACATAAATTGTTGGGGACTGGGCAGTTAGGATGAGAGGGGTCCTGTCTGACAGATTTTTCTTCTCTGCAGGAATTACCCTTGTGTGCCTGACCATTCCTGTGGCCTTCGGTGCCTATGTGAATTACAGGTGGCCAGAACAATCCAAACTTATTCTTAAGGTAAGCAAGATGGAACTTAAGGTAACTCCACGGGCCAGTTAGCACATTTCAGACTCAGAAACTTGACAAATAGATGCAGGCAATGACTAGAACAAAGGGGCCAGTCAAATACAGCTCCACACCCAGCAATTTTCCTTACATGTCCTGCATTTTTGGATCCAACCGCAATATATCCTCCACTTCTAAGCCTTGCTTTGTCACCCCTGTGGACCCATACACTGAGGCTTATGACACCCTGCAAAGTGTGGAACTCCTGCTTGAGGGACAGAAAAGCTGAGGCCTACATGTGGCCAGCGAGAGCCCATTCATTCACTAGGCCCCACACAGGCGCTCTCAAGGGAAGGCTGTTCAAGTGTGCCGGAAACGGAGCCCAGTGGATGGAAGTACAGCTGGCTTCACAGAGCAGCAGGAGGAGAGGCAATCTTTTGGAAGCATTCCTAGGAGAGTTGTGCACATGAGCAAGGGCTGCTGACATGAGTAACTGTCAAAATGAAATCATCCAGAACGCACTGACCCTAAAATGAAGGGAACTGGAACCTTCCTCCTCCTCTTAACTTTCCGGGGTTGTCCCTTGTCTGCTGGAGAAACAAGCAAATGTCCTCAGTAAATGGCTTTTAAAGTTAATCTAGCTAGAGAGGAGGCCTTCTCAGCAGTGCTATCAATCTCTTGGAGTGTCTTCCATTTATGTATTGCTTTAGAAGATACACGTGTTTATTCTGTGCTGCTTTCGTGAAGATTTAAAAAATGTTTTAGTTATTTTTTTACATTTATAAAATAGGAAACATTTGGAGCTAATTGGAGGTTCAGCTAAGAAATTTCAGTTCATTTTAGTCTGGGGTTTATGGTTTGGTTGAGTTTAAGCTCTTGACGTTTGGCTCTACCTGACGGAACACTCATTCCATTTGCTGCACGAATGGATGTTGCTTCCCCAGTTTGGCACAAGACTGAACAACTCTCGCTATTCCTCCAATGAGATGAAGAACAAGAGAAGAGGGGTTGACAAGTAGACAGATGAGCTGGGCACAGAGAGCTGGAGTAAGGATTAAATGGTGTACATTTGGATTGCATGTAGTGACTTTACTGTCATTTCAGTAGGAGGAAGTTTCAACGTGTGGTTATAATTTTGTTTATAAAACAAGAGGAGAGAGCTTCATCACGGGAACTTCTTACTTTTCAAGTACTCTATCTTGGATTTCTTAAAAGGGCATCAACAAAAAAATGATTATTTTGGTATTTCTAGATCCTCTATTTGTCTTTCAGTGTCAATGGAGAAACCAGATAAATTTTCTGTATGTCTGTAAAGAGCAAATTAAAAACCCTTTGGCAATTCCATAGGAGTTGTGGGAGAAAATATTTAATAATATATATAACAGATAAATATTCTAGAGCACCTTAGTTAAAACTAGGATAATTTAATCATTATTTTGGGATGTCTTCATTCTCTATTCCTAGTCCTCTTTTGGTTTTAGATCTGATTCATTTTCTGAACAAGTTGCTTTTGGTAAATTTTAAACTTTTAAATCCTTTTCTTGGTAGAAAGTTGGAGTAGGATTTTTACAATCAGAGGCCTTTGTGTGTTCCAGCATCTTCCCGTTAGGCAGAGGCCCAGTCTGTCCTCAGATTGAGCAATAAAAACAACCGCCAGAACACATCTGTGGTCCATTGAGTTGTTTTTATTTTGTTTTGGTTGCCCATGACCATCTTCCTCTATGCCCTGAATCATTTCAAATCAAGGGTGATGCTGTAACTGGGTGTATAGTTTGCTGCCGCATGGTGTGAATGGGAGCTTGCCAAGATCCTGATTTTCCCAAATATTCTGTATTTTGCTTCCTTGCTATTTGGCTTAAAACCCAGACCTTTGAGGGGAAAAATCATTGATTTTGTTTGTTTGTTTCTTGTTGTTTCTGTTTGTTCTGTTAAAAGTAAGGTACCTGTCAGTACTCCTCACATTACGCTACATCTGTCTAATGAAGAGTGGGCACATTTCATTTGGAGGAGACAAGGGCAAGGATCAAAGCGGTTAGAAGTTGTTGGTGGTTGAAGGGGTGGTGGGAAGAGAGTGGCGGATGGTCAGGCAGGGGAGATCTCAGACAAGAGGCTACCAGGGCAGGGTCTGAGAGGCTGTATGTAGAAGTGTTGGATGCTTGTTATCAGATTTCAGTTATTTCACAAATTTGTCCTGTCTGTGAAAAACTCTACTGCCCAGTCCTTCTGGCACAATCCTCCACTTGAAAGGAAACCATACTGATCATAAAATAAGAAGGCTTAGATTTGTGTTGAGCTTCATCAGATTCTAGCTCAGCCACGTCACTTGACCGCTTTGGACCTGAGGATTTTTCTGTGTAAAATGAGATTGGGTCCGTTGGTCTCTAAGTCCTCTCTTTGTTCTAAAACTTCTAGGTTCCAAGCCTTTTTGAGCAGTGATGGACTTTGCAAAAAGACGATGATGTTTACATGAACCTATTTTATTAATTCGCCTTAGGTTGGGGCCATTGTTGGCGGAGTCCTCCTCTTGGTGGTTGCTGTTGCTGGTGTGGTGCTGGCGAAAGGATCATGGAATTCAGACATCATTCTTCTGACCATCAGTTTCGTCTTTCCTTTGATTGGCCATATCATGGGCTTTCTGCTGGCACTTCTTACCCACCAATCTTGGCAGAGGTACAGTTAAATTATCTATCAGCTTTTACAAGGAGGACAAGTTAAACACACTGCCATTGGCAGGCTTTGCTGCCTGGCTGTATCTGGAAGCATGAAGAGTTTTGGCTTACAAGGTGGATGGAACAGGAAAACTCATCATAAAGAGAGTGGAAAGAGCACAGTAATTCTTTATGTAAAGGAAAACCAAGGACAAACTGACGGGAAACTGTAATTTGTGAAACTGGAATATTAACACCACTTGTAATCTGGACATGCTTCTCTTATTTTAATAGTTAAATAGGAGGGCGAGGTGGTTTCACTAAGTAGAGATCACTATAGGGCATGAGCACGGTGCAAGAGATGAAGCAGGAATTTATCTTAAATATTATCATGACAAGTTGGGGCATATGTTATATAAATACCGTGAAATGTTAAAAATGATGACACTCTGTGTTGCTGTGCCCGTAGATGCGGTGAGTATTACCATACAGGGTTGGAGGGAACATAGATTGGCACAAACCTCTGAAAGGCAATTTAGTCATATCAGTCGCCTTGTATTACTCCCTCCTGCATTTTCTTCAAGTGAGGTTTTCCCCCCTTCCTCTCCCTCTTTCTCTGTACCTTTCCCTTCCTTCTTTCTTTTTTCTTTCTTTTTTGCAAAGAAATGAATAAAACGTAGAAAAATAGTAGAAAAATTTTATTACTAAAACCTTCATTGATTGATGATTACTAAATCATTTTAGACATTTGGTTTTCACTTGGGTTTTTTATGTTTCTTTTCAAGCATTGTTTAGTTTATACTATTTCACATCTCTGACTCAACTGTACATTCTCATCTCCTCCAGTCCTCCACTCCGCGTGGGCAGGCTGGCCTACAGCATTTCCAATGCTTACTGAACAGGCCACGCTCATACCTGTCCCTGGAACTTTAATTTCAGTAATTTTCCCACATTCAATGCCTCTTCCCCTCTTCCATCCTCTAATGCCACTCTTCCTCTGAAGCCTTCTCTAACCATCTGCGCCACTTTTCTGACTTTCTACAGTCTCCCTGACTCTCGATCATACTTTGTCTTGTGTTGTTTCTGAGCCTTTCCTACGTGTGTATCTTCTCTTTTCACCCAGATTCCCAGGGCATGGTTTGTAGGCCCCTATTTGGAGGTGTCTCTCCAGAGACTATGCACAGAGTAGGCACTCAGCAAATAATTACTGAATGAGTAAACACTGTTAGTGGCCTAAGCTCATAGCTTACATTTATCACTATACATAAGAGAATACTTAAGAATAGTCCTTATTGCTAGTATGTAACTTGAACATTTTTTCCATTGGTAGGTGCCGGACCATTTCCTTGGAAACCGGAGCTCAGAACATTCAGATGTGCATCACCATGCTCCAGTTATCTTTCACTGCCGAGCAGTTGGTCCAGATGCTTAACTTCCCATTGGCCTATGGGCTCTTCCAGCTGTTGGATGGATTTCTCATTGTTGCAGGTGGGTAGAGCCCCCATTGGGTAGATTTGACTGAAAATTATTGACCCAACTTACCAGCTCTTTTTTCAGCCTGAATATGCATGTGCTGCCCTTGTGATACATTTTCAGTCTGACATTTCTGGGGAAGATAAAGGGCATGAACAAGATCCTTTGCCACAAGTGAAGTTTCATAGGAAAATATAAAAAAAGTAAAAATGAGCTTATAATTAATTATAAACAAATATGCTTTACAAAAAATAATGCTATCAGAATTTTCCATGAACATTTAGCTCAAAAGTGACATTTTTTATGTTTTATTAAGAGCTTTGAAGTCTTCCAAATGTTATTTCACAGTACTGTGACTAAAAATTGTGCTGAGTGGCTATGAAATACTTTTCATCTATGAAATATAATATATACACAGAAATTTAAAGTGTATATATACGCTTATATGCTTACCTATCTCTACAGCCAAAAATACATCATTTTGGAGTCATTCATTATGTAAGTTCACAGAAGGTAAATTTAAAAAATACAGACTGATAGATATGTACACACACACGTATATATTTTAATCTCAGCTGTTGTAAATTCTTACTGTTGTCGTAGAACGGGTTCTGAGTCAGGCTCAAGGATTACTGATGTACTGATTATATACTGATTGCTGATAGAACAGTCGTCAGTATAAGGGACACTTGGGGTTTAATGCTCCCATGGGATAAATCCTAGCAGAATAAAACTCCTGGTCTTGGATCCAAGCTTTACTTTCTTCTCATGGTGAGACTGATGGAAGGAACATGCTGGGCTTGTTCCCACCTGTTCCCCAGCACCAGGAGAGCACTGCCCACAGAGTGCTGACTGCCTGACCATGTGACTGGATGGGTGAGCCGTCAGCGACCTGATCCATGGCTCAGTCCCAAAAGGTCTGTTCCAGACAGGAATAGCCCTCCTGATGCACTGAATTAGTTGGCTCTGGAGTTTTGTCTTTTCCCTTTATTTTCACCCTTCTTTTTCTTGTGTGTTTATACACACAAGATCCAAAGCAAACCAACACCCAAAGTATTGACAAGTACACAATGTCACCAGATTATAATCTTCACCAAAGTGGTTTTTAATACTGCTGTGTTTTAACACCTAGTGTATAAGATGTACAAGAGGAGACTGAAGAACAAACACAGGAAAAAGCACCCGCACTGTGCAGAAGCCTGCTGTAAGAAGAAACCCAAAGAGACCAGTGCTTTCTTGGAGGTGATTGAAGAAGCCGCTCTCACTCCTGGGCCGTCGGGGCCCGTGGATCTCACGGGGCTCTCGAGCCAACTGGCCGCATCTCACGTGCCAAGTAGGGGCTTGCTGGCTTGACGGGTCCCTGTCCTCCTCAGCGGGCAGCAAAGACAGTGCAGAGCTGATGAGGGAATCTCGTTGTCAGGGCTGATGGGAATGTTTGAGTGTCAGATGTTAACACATTTATATTTTTGTGTGCATTGTGAACTGTCATAGGATCCCTTTTTGAAAATCTGTTCTGCCTATTTCAGGTTGTTCCTTTGCGGGTTTACACAACAGAGCTACCAGCTGCTGTGTGTGTTCTATCTTCCCACACAGTGAAGAGTGACCCCCCACTGTTACGTGAAGTCATCCTCAAGTTGAGAATTTTAATGTCACAAGAGTTAGGACTCTGTATAGAGGGGATGTCACCTCATACCGCAGGGCAAGGACAGAGTCTGGACCCACCTGACTTCTTGACTTTGGGCAAGTCCTTTGTGGCATTGGGGAGGAAGCATACAGCTCTTATTAAAAATGGGGTCTTTTTGCAAATGATTGTTATTTTTTAGAGCTTGAAAATCTTTTTGGATTATAGATGAAATATATGCCTAGAGGGAATTTAATGGACATTTAAGGTTAGTATTTTTACTCCATAGAGAGAGGCACACATATATTCTTTTAACATATATTTATATGTTATGTCATTTTAAAAACATGGAGATCACTCCATATAAACTTATGTAAGTCACTTAATGACATATTATGGAGCATCTTTATGTGTCAGTCTTTGTTGAACTACCTCATTCTTTAGAACAGTGGCTCCATAGAAATATTCCAGTGCATGGAAGGACTGTAATTTATTTAACTGTTCCTTATTCACAGACATTTAAATAGCTTTCAACTTACTGGTATCACAGTGCTGCTACAAACACTTGTGCCTTCATGGAGGTATTTCTGTGGGATCACTTCCTAGGCTTGAATTGCCAGGTTGACTGCACATCGCAATGCTGGGCAGAGAGCTCTCTGGCACCGTTGTATAAAGTGCCTGGGAGCGCCTGGTTTCCCATAGTCGCACCAGTCTTAAGAATGATCATTCTACTTTATGAAAATATCTCGTCTAAAGTTGCATTGTTAAAATTATGAGTGAAGTAGAGTATTTTTCATGATCGCTTACCTGTTTGTTCTTTGCCTGCTTTTCTATTTTTTATTTCCTTTTTGATGGATAAATTTTAACATATTAACATATTATAGATCATGACCCTTTATCCTGTTTTGTCAGTATTTTACCTAGTGTTTTGTCTTTTGTTTTTGTGTATCTTTTGCTGTATAGAAGTTTTATATTTTTACATATTCAGCTTTATTAGTCTTTTAAAAACTGTTTTGCCCTCAGTGTTGGTCAAATGTTAGACTATTTATATTTTTGTATGGATTGTGAATTGTAAAAGGATCCCTTTTTGAGAATGCATTTGGCCCCTTTTCAGGGAGTTCTTTTTGGAGCTCTGCATACATGCTTATTAGCTGCTGTGTATACTGTCTGGCAGTAGGTAAGACCCATCCTCTTTCTCTGTTCTTACAGTATTAAAATCCCATATATTTTTGTTACTTTTATGTATTAAATATGTACATGTTTATTCCATTTTGAATTTTTTTCCCTGTGTTAAGAATCTAGGTAGGACAGAAAGAGCCCCCTTAGGTGTCACAAGTATATTTATGTGGAAAAGAAGTAAACACATGTGTGCCATGATTGTTAATTCTCAGCTGCTGCAGTGAACAGAGTCAGGAGAGTTGTATGTTTAGAGATCCTCAGTTCTAAAATGAGCTTTTAAAGAATCCTCAAAATAGGAATTTCTAAATTATTTCTCTATATAGGCACCTAACACGAAATGGTAAATTCCAATGCACCATTCTGAAAGCATTAGCTGCATGGTCAGTATTTGCCAGTCAGGACAAGTCTGGAGACAGGTCTACCAAAAGCTATCCTTTAAGACAGAAACAACACAAATCAATG